CTTTCAACAAACATATTAAGCATTCTTCATTTAATGAATCTTACAGAATGACATCCTAAAAGCTGGAGGTGTCTTTGAGATAATATTATTTATCTCACTCATTTTACAAAAAAGAAAACTGAACTCTACAGTTAAAATGATTGAATTACTTAAATAAAATGTATTTTCTGATTTCAGAGCGTTGACATCACCATTGTCTATCACATCATCTTTTTAATTGTATTTTAGTTTAGTTTTCTTGTTTAAACCTATCCCCACTTTGCTTCTTTTAAAAATTAGATTGGAAGTTACTTAAAGGCAGCACCCATGTCTAACACAGGTATTGTACAGCTCATAGGCCAAGTATTGTGCTTTGTGCTTATTGGTCACCTACTCAATATTAATAGATGTTAGTTAAGGGAAAACAGAACAACAACAAAAGGTTCTATCATCAAAAACGAAGCCCACTACCATGGTGTGAATTCAAATTGGGGTCATTCCACATGGATGTCCCTCTTTTTAACTGCATGGAAAGTGGCATCTAGTGGTTGGTGTATATATTACAATTGCCCTGTTCTTTTCTTTCTTTCTTTCTTTTTCGACCCATGAGTGCCAGAGCCACTCTCACAATTCACGTGTAATAAGTAGAATATAAATTAAAATTTCAAATGGAATTCAAAAAGTTTTCCTTTAATGCCCTAATATTTTGCATGCTGATTTCTCAGTTTATAACAATTAAAAAGTAGTTCAAAATGTCAAAATTATTAAATTTTCATTTTTATTGTGTAGAATAACTTTGAAACAGGACACACAATATTGTTTGTTAAAAATTATATTGGGAGTGATGTAAAGAGAACATTTTATCCAATTCAAACAAGACACTGAGTTGGGAGAATTGTTTGATTGTGAGTAGTCCAAAAAACAATAATTAAGAAAAGCTATGTCCATTGATAGTTTGCATTATTCTCAGGTGTTCAATTTATATTTAAGGCTATAAATCCTTCAATTAGTATTAGAGTATCTCTCCGTAAAGGTTGAGGGCAGAATGTTAAGCAGTTTTATGCTTATGTATTTTAAATATATAGGTATATATTCATATATGTAGATATATATATATTGCAGACACAGCATTCTAAAGTCAAATGTTAATTTTTCTTACATTAACAGCCATTTGTATTATCAGTACCCTTGCCCTCTGATTAAAACATGTAATTGAGTATTGACATGTACAATCTAAGTCAATGAATATAAACATAGACAATTATGTTCTGAATCAATGTCTTCTAAAATTTTAATTTTGTAGTTAGGAATCTAGAATATATGTTTACAAAACAATGCTATATACTTTCTTTTAAAAAAATACATTTTCAATTAATCTTTATTCCTATAACATTGCAATGGAATTATTTGTGAATAGGTTTATCCTCTGCATTAAAGTGCAATAATAGACCGTCTTATTTGTATTTCTACCTGCACCAAACATAGTGCCTAAGATATAATAAATGATCAATGTATTTGTTGAAATTATAATAAATGTTGAAAGAGGATATCGAATGCCTAAAATATTTGATGAATAAATACATTAGAATAATCCTGCTTAATGATTTATTACACTTTTATTGTAAATTAAGTGGAGTTTATATTTCCGGTCATCAACTTTGCATTCAACAGTTTAAAATACTAACCAACCAACCAAACACCCCCCCCACCCCACCCCAATCAGCTCCTTGCTTTCTCTGCTTTCTTATGGACTACTCTCTATGCTCTTGGGTAAGAAAGTAATAGTTTTATGGGTTATTTTCCTTCTCAAAACAGTAGTTTCATACAATATTTGTCCTTTTGTGGTTGACTAATTTCATTCAGGAATTTAATGTTCTCCAGATCCACTCAAGTCATGAGGTGCTACTGTGATTTCATCATGGTTTTTTAGGGATGCATATGGTCCATTGTGTGTGTACTAGAATTTCTTTATCCATTCTTCTACTGATGGGCATTTAGAATGTTTCCATCTTCTTGCTATTATGAAGAGTGTTGTGATGAACCTCGGTGTGTGTACCTGCTGATACTTTGGTTTTTATTTTTTTAGGGTACAGGTTCAGAAGAGAGACTGCTGGATCATATAGAATTTCTATTCCAAGGTTTTTTTTAGGTAGCACTACATAACTTTCCACAGTGATTGTATACGTTCACAGTCTCACCAGTAGAATATGAGGGCTCTAATTTCTCAACACCCTTTCCAGCATGTGTTCTTCTGTTTTTAATTTGACTGTCATTGTTGGTGTCATGGCTGGAGTAAAGAAAATCATGGAATATTGAACAATCGGCTAAAGTAACTTAAAACCATAGATCCTTAAGGCTGAAGGTTGATGACTATTATTTGGTGTTCATATATCATGAAGATTTTAGTAATTCAGGCTATATATTAGATGAGAGCAATCCCAATGTTTTGTACATAAATACTGAGCTATCCACATATGTTAAAATAATTACGACTTGTTTTTAAGCATTTCTGCTTTGTGCCAGAGTAAAAGATAGTTCTAGCTGTCAGATGTCTCCTACTGTCTTATCTTTTTCAATTCTTATCTTATCATCCTCCAAGGGTGATCTTTCTCTGGCATCAGGACCACAATTCTCAATGTGAGGGAGTGAATTTGTTAATAATAGCCATTGGGGATATCTTGGCTGTGGAAGCAGTATTTGTGATAATTTTGGGCTGTGAGATACTGAGCTACTAGTGATGCAGGAGTGGGAGCAAAGGAAAGAAAGGAAGTAATAGATCATATTCTTGATTTTATGCTCTGTGGTGACTCTTGAATGCAGATACGGTAAAGAAGCACTTAAAATGGCAGACATTCTTCGCAATATCTAGGTGCCAAGTTCATTGCTAAAATAGATTGAGAGGTAATTTCTTAGAAGTGATGTTAAGGAGAAAAAGAGGTGTTCCCGTGATGCCCCTCACTGGCCCATGGCCCTGCGGGGGACAACACCAGTGACACAGTGTGGGAATTGCGCCTGATCTGACCCCGCCACGCTGAG